TGGAGATGATGGGGTGTTACGGATGCAGGGTCAGATTTGTGTGCCCAATGTGGATGGGCTTCGTGAGTTGATTCTTGAGGAGGCCCACAGTTCGTGGTATTATATCCATCCGGGTGCCGCCAAGATGTATCAGGATTTGAGGCATCATTATTGGTGAAGAATAATGAAGAAAGATAGAGTTGTGCATGTGGCTCGGTGTTTGAATTGCCAGCAGGTAAAGTACGAGCATCAGAGGCCTAGTGGTTTACTTCAGAGGCTTGAGATTTCTGAGTGGAAGTGGGAGCGTATTACCATGGATTTCGTTGTTGGGCTCCCATGGACTTAGAAGAAATTTGACGTTGTATGGATGATTGTGGATAGGTTGACCAAATCGGCATATTTCATTCCGGTGGCAGTTACCTATTCTTTAGAGCGGTTGGCTAAGATCTATATCTACGAGATTGTTCGTCTTTACGGTGTGCCAGTGTCCATTATTTTTGATCGGGGCACGCAGTTCACATCGCATTTTTGGAGGGCCGTACAGTGTGAGTTTGGCACGCGGGTTGAGTTGAGTACAGCATTTCACCCCCAGATGGACGGGCAGTCCAAGCACACCATTCAGATATTGGCGGATATGCTTCGTGCCTGTGTTATGGATTTCGGGGGTTCTTGGGATCAGTTCTTACTGCTTGTGGAGTTTGCCTACAACAACAGCTACCAATCGAGTATTCAGATGGCTCCTTATGAGGCCCTATATGGGAGGCGGTGTCGTTCGCTAGTTGGTTGGTTTGAGCCGGGAAAGCTCGAATGTTGGGCACCGATTTGGTACAGGATGCCTTGGAAAAGGTCAAGATAATTCATGATCAACTTCGTACGGCGCAGTCTAGGCAGAAGAGTTATACCAATCGGAGAGTTTGTGACGTTGCATTCATGGTTGGAGAGAGAGTATTGCTCCGGGTTTCACCCATGAAGGGTGTGATAAGGTTCGGGAAGAAGGGCAAGTTGAGCCCTAGGTATATCGGACCCTTTGAGATCCTTGAGAGACTTGGTGAGGGGTCCTACAAGCTTGTATTTCCACCTAGCTTATCAGCATTCCACTCGGTGTTCCATGTGTCCATGCTTCGGAAATATCACGATGATTTGTCCCATGTACTAGATTTCAACTCAGTCCAATTGGACAAGGATCAATTACTTAAGAGGAGTTGGTGGCCGTTCTAGCCCGACAGGTTCGGAAGTTGAGGTCTAGGAGTTATCCTTCAGTTAGAGTGCACTGGAGAGGTCAACCGGTCGAAGCATCTATGTGGGAGTCCGAGGCCGATATGGGGAGTAGATACCCACAACTTTTCACCAATCCAGGTACCTTTCTATGTCCATTCGAGGACAAACGTTTGTTTAAGAGGTGAAAAATATGATGACCAGATAAGTCATTTTGAGTATTAGCTCTTAATTTTGTGTTTCGAGACCTCCGTTAGCTTTGTTTGATATTTCTTCGTTTGCGTGCGTGGTCCGTGTTACTATTTGAAAAGCTTTTATGTGAAAATTTGAAGAAAATATGATTTTTAACTTTAAAAACAACTCGAGTTGACCACGGTCAACATTTTGTGAAATGAACTCGGATCGGTGTTTTGATAATTCTGGTAGGCCCGTATTGTGATTTTGGACTTGGGTGTATGCTCGGAATTGAAATTGGATCTCCTTAAATTGATTTGACTCATTTTACCGAAAACAAGCATTTTGAAAGTTTGAAAATTTACTAAGTTTGACCGTAAGTTGACTTCTTAGCTAACGGGTTCGGATTTTGATAGTGAAATTTGGAATGAGTCAGTATCTCTATTTGAAACTTGTCTGCAATATTTGGGGTAATTCAGAATTGATTTGACATTATTCGGATGCTTAGATGTGATTCTAGTGTTCTTGAGTTTTACTTTGAAATTTCATTCGTTTCGAGGATTGATTTGTAGATTTAGATGTTATTTTGGTGATTTTATTGCGCGAGCAAGTTCGTATGATGTTATTACACTTGTGTGCATGTTTGGTTTGGAGCCCGAGGGGCTCGGGTGAGTTTCAGACGTGCTTCGGATGAGTTTTGCTAGTGTGAAGATTGCTGGTGCAATTCCAGCTCTGGTGTCTGCTGCAAATCTAGTATTTGCGAGGGCTCGCAATTGCGAGCCTCGCTTTTGCGAACAAGAGTTTCATTTGCGAGCAGGGCCTGGGATTGGGTAACCTCGCATATGCGAGGAAATGGTTTGCAATTGTGAACAGCTCAGGATCGCATTTGTGATCACTTGGTCGCATTTGCGATGCCTGGAAAAACAGTATACCTTTGCAATTGCGAAGATGCTGGTCGCATTTGCGATCATTTTGTCGCATTTGCGACTTCTGTGGCTCTGAGGCAAGGTTCGCATTTGCGACCCTTGTCTCGCATTTGCGGTGTTCGCAATTGCGACACTTGCAGCTGGGTAAAAGAGGGAGAAAATGAGACTTAGCTCATTTCACACTATTTCTCAACCCTAAAAACTCTAGAGGCGATTTTTCAAGAGAGATTTCTTCCCAAATTCGTTGGTAAGTGACTTTAATCCATTTTCTTTCAATTACCCATTACATTTCATGAGATTTCAACATCAAATTTAGGATTTCCATGGTAGAAACTAGGGATTTGAGTAGAATTGGGGGGTTTTGTAAAATTGAGATTTAGACCTCGAATTGAGGTCGAATTTCGAAATAAATCACATAAACGGGCTCGGGGGTGAATGGGTAATCGGGTTTTGGTCTGAACTCAAGTTTTGACCAAGCGGGCCCGAGGTTGACTTTTGTTGACTTATTCAAAAATGATCAAAATTTAACATCTTTCATTTGCGGGTAGTTTCTAAAGCTTATTTTGAATCAAATGGTCAATAATTTGCTAGATTTGGTTGGTTTGAAGGCTTGTTCAAAAGGCAAGGTCGTGGTTGATTGACTGCTTGAGTTGCGGAGTGAGGCAAGTGTTGGGTCTAACCTTAATTTGAGGGAATTAGGGAATCCTGAACTACATGTTATGTGAATTATGTGGGAAACGGCGTATATGCAAGGTGACAAGTGTATATGCGTCGTCATGATACTTCCTTCCATGTTTTCGTTACTTCATGATGTATCTTGTTTCCTGCCTTAACTACTATATGCTTTATTGACTTCCATGCCATAATTGTTACTTGTCATTTAGTTGTTCTTGTATTAAATTGTCCATCCCTTCCATAATTCCAAGCTTATTTGCTACTTATCTCTACTTGCTTTACTTGCATATCTAAATTTTCATGTCTTACTTGCCTTATAGTTTTGTAATATTTGTTGCTTTCTATAACATGGTTTCCTTGTATGAGTTGTCCAATTAATAGATATCGATGAGTTGGTAAGGTTGAGACATTCGAATTATTAGAGATTCTTCACTGCCTCGTACATTTACTCATCTGATGTGGAAATTCTTGTAAATTTTGGTTGTTGAATTGCTATTGTTGATTGACATTGTTTGGGAAGTGGGTTACACGTCGCAACGGAAATCGAAAGGTAATGAATTGAAATGGCGGAATAAGGACGGATTATGATATTGACAGATGATGATATGGTGGGATCGGGTTGCTTGCAACGGATTGTATATGTTGTATTTGTTTGTGACTGTTTGATTTGCCTCGGTATTTTGAGATGAGTTTATGAGACTTGTTATTTTGGGCTCTCTGGTAGTTGGATTTCGAGTTCGTTTTTATGAGTCAACTGCTTTACTTTCATTTCATGCCTTTCCTGTTATTATTATTATTGCATACAGGTTATTGTAAGTGACCCGCCTTAGCCTCGTCACTACTTCATCGAGGTTAGGCTCGACACTTACAGAGTACATGGGGTCAGTTGTACTCATACTACACTATGTACTTCTTGTGCAGATACCTGAGTGGGTCCCAGCGGTGCTGAGTGAGATTGCCCGGATCCAGCTATCAGTGGAGACTTGAGGTATAACTGCACGGCGTCCGCAGCCCTGAAGTCCCCTTCTATGTCATCTTAGCTGTTTATTTTGATTCAGACAGTTATGTTTTATTCAGACCATTATCTGTAGTGCTCTAGATGCTCATGTATTCGTGACACCAGTTTCTGGGATTGTATTTGGATTACGTCATTTATTAGTTTATCACCCTGTTTCAGACTATTCTGTTTCATTGTTATTATTTGATTTGAATTGTTAAAAATGGTTAATAATTATAGCTAACGTTGACTTGCCTAGCAAGTGAAATATTAGGCGTCATCACAGTTCCGAGGGTGAAAATTCCGGATCGTGACAAAAGGTATACAAAACTATTTGACTCTCCATTTTGTATAGTCAACACTTGGAAGCTGGTGTTATAACTATTGATATTTGGTAAAATTGGACTGACATACTGATCAAACGTTGTTATGTACCAAGTTTATCTGAAATTTTACTTAAAGTAATAGCTCCAATTTTGTAGTTAGATTAATATTTCTTAAAAAAGAATCTAAAGATACAACTATTTCCTTCTAGCATAAGCTGTTTGTCTCTCTTTAATGTGGTGTTGATCCTTTTTATGTTATTTCTTCTTGTACTTTTGGAGGGGCATCTTGAAAAATATTCAAATACATGTACAGTTCTGTAGAACATTTATCTTATCCCCCTACCGACGATTATAGGGACATCCACGCAGCTAATCTCCATTATTAACTGAGTGCCTGCCCTCGGAAGAAGTCATTTGAGTGAGGCTCCACAATCCCAATTTAACTCCTCAAGCCCTTTCTCCTTCCCCTTTACCTCATCACCTATGCCAAGCCCACATGTTTTCTTGCTTGTAGATTACCAGAATGTCTTTGGCAAATATATTCTTGCTGGGAAATTCTAATCTACACTTGCCCATAAATGTGCGCAACAGAGAATTTACCCATAAAACGCCGTTTTCACCTAAAATTATGTTTCCTGGGACTGCTAGTGGACCAGTTGGCCTTTACACAAACACAAAATGATGAATCTGATTCCAGTATACCAGCTATTTCAAAAATTTCAAGGCGCACTAGTTGAAAATTTTGTTTGTTGGATCAAAATCCATTTCCAGCTTCAGTTGTAACTGAAATCTGTAATACTACCACAAGATGTACAGTTAACAACACATTCTACAACTTGGTACAAGTTCAAACATGAGAGACAAGAAAGGACGGTCCTTGGACCTCTTCTCGTAATTGTCCCTTTGACTAACAAATTGTGTATCTAAGTTTGTTACATGCCTGAAATTGACCTAAAAAGGAATCAGAAATTCATGAGACTGCATATGTAATTCTATTATTGATTTACTGATAGAGCTTCTTGTCCAATACCGAAACAGCTCTAAGGGGTTTCCATCAAATCATGATATCAGGGTCAAGCGCTCCCCTCCTGCTTGAAGCTGTGCTGCATATACATGGAAACAATATGTCATACACAAATAGGAATATTTTAGAAGTACTTTTTATAGAAAGCTTGACAAGCCTGAAAGGTATACTCCTGTCAAAGAGAAATGCCTTCATAATTTGACATCGTGAAACTTCATGTAGTCTCTCGTCATTAACAATATCGGCAAGCCTCTGACGCTCTATTATGTCTTCAATCATTTTATTTAATATCTTTGTATTCCCCATTTTCTATCCAGGAAAAAGAAAAGGTGACATAGCATGGTAATAAGCTACTATGGGATAATTAACGTCTATAATCACCAGATTTAGAATACTGTAGGAACCCAAGGGTACTTTCTTCAACAACCATTTTCTTTTTTTTTTTAGGTTCAACGGACCGCCTGCTGCTTCATCTAGGAAAAATATTAAGCTCGGGTCCTATAATTTTCCTGATTATTCTATTGCATAAAGGGAAGACAGAAATATACGAGATCATATCTTCACAATGCTTGTAGAGGCGTAGAGTTTCCAAGGCAAGAGGCACTTTTTCACCTGTCACTGCCAGTTTAACTATCTGCTCCACTATTTCCTCCTTCAAGGTGTGATAAATGTGCCTTTGGCTGTCTCTTGAGAAAAGCACTTTGTGGATCCAAATTTCCATTTTGTACTTTCTAACGGAACCAAACTTGCTCTATTTGGAGGATTGCACCGTTGGATAGGTAAAACATTTGGTTTGACACAACCTGAAACTTCCGCGCATATTTATTTTCATTATCTAATCTCTTCTCCTTTCTTTCAGATGTTATGATAGACCAGAATTTATATTTCTAATACTTGCAAAAGATTCTTCCCAAGCACTGCAGATATCTTGCCTACAATAGGACTTCCTCGCTAATATTGCTACTTGAAAACTCCAAATACACACCAAAACTTACAAATATTAGAAGCCTGGTTTATTTGTTATCTAATATTCCCTACAGATTATGGTTAATTGTACTCTTTTGTTTTCCTTCTGGTGTAAAGAGGAGCTTGTAAATGAAGCAAAATCATTAATTAGCCTCTAAGAATCCCTACAAGATTAGAAAGGGATCTTATTTTGGTTTTTTGTTCACCTGTACATATCTCAGCATTATTCTTGTCTGCATATTCAATATAATTACCATTTCTCCAAAAAAACAGTTCCCTACAAGCTTGAAACAGAGCTTACTGCATTTTCTTGAAGAGCTTTAATATAAACAGCTGTCTTCGAAAGTGCTAGAATACTCTACAAATACTTCAAGAGCTGAGAGTTTAGATGATATATAGGACAATTCATAAATATCACATGCTCAGTGTAAAATAGAGTAGAATTTTTAAAATTAAAAGCAAACAGCAGAACTGGTATCAGCAAAGACTACGTGAGAGACATCTTTGCTTCGTCCAACCAAAAACCATTTTGCTGTTTCCCGTGAAACCATCAAAGTCAAAATCCACCAGCATTTTAGCATTCCTGATTTCTAGATCTTTAGATTGCGTAAACAAAATAATCATAACTGACATAATGAAAGAAGGTGCACACTAAGAAGTTTCCAGGAAAAAAAGAAACACCTCTCATGTTCTCTCCATGCAGAAGTCTCAGCTAGGAAGAATAATACTAAGGGATCGTTTGGTTCTCATATTAGTTATGTGAAAATTGTAACTGTCTATGTGGTAATTAACAATGAAGAGATTGCATTTTTGTCTTTAAATAGTTTAATCTCCACATTTCCAGAACACATATTCTTATTCCACATTCCATGCTGTATAAAATAATGCATACATTCCCATATAACTTAATGCTAGTACTTATTTAGTTCCGTCAACCAAACACTGCTTTAGTTGTACAGCAATTATTTTTTCTTATGCGACCAACCAAACACTATATCATTTTGTATACGATTTATAGTGGGATTAGTTGTTCCAACACAATCAACAAAATGCCCCCGAGTGTTCGCAGTTATCAAAAGTTACTTTCAATCAACTAAAGCTGGATCCTTCATGGACAATGATGATCAAGTTAAAAATGTCCCACGATTTTTACCAGAATCAACTCAGAGATAACTGACTTCATCGTCTGCTTACTATTAGCAACACAAACTGTTCAGAATTAATCAATGACCAGCATATTGCTAGCCGAGTAAGCTACTCTTTGTCATTACCTGTCTTGTGTAAGATGAGTTTTGTGCAAGAAACTTCAAATACTCTTGCTTCTTTATACCAAAGTTGAACCTTGCATGATCTAGCAATGCTTGTTCTCTCTGCATATCTTCTACAGTTCTTTCCTTTTTCCACTTCATCTCCTTTATCTGTCTTTCAATTTCAAAGTAGTCCTGCGGCAAATTTGACTTTGCAAAGCTCTTTGGAAATTTCAAATCAACTTCCCTTTTACCAAAGAATACAAAAGAAAGACATAAACCCAACTCAGATTCAGAATATATAATTTCATGATGACTTAGTTATGCTATTCCTGGTATATAAACCTAAGAGGAAATACATTCTGCCAAAGAGAGCCCAAGAGAAGATAATTGACAGAAAAGATTGTGAATTTAATGTCATGTCCAGTCCCTGAAAATCTCATGGCCTAGTCTTTCTTTCACAAAAGGATATTCTAGAGTTGTAATGGAAGTCGCTCAAATTCATATATCTTACCATAGGGTTATCTTTCTTGATTAAATTATATTATATACTATGGTCTCTTTTTGATATTTGGATGAAGAATTCACTGATAAATGGTGGGCATATCATTATGAAATAAAAATACAATAGACAAACAAATTGATAAAGACAGTTTTGTAGCTTCCTTGCTGTTTATGCATTAAATGACAGACGAGCATATTTTTGGGACCACAGGAGACAGATTGTAAGAGGAAGTTCATAAAGGCTGTACAGCTGAACTCACGAAGTTGAAGCTACACGCACATTAGCACATAAGCATAAACAGAAACAGCACCAGCTTCAGAAAATAGAAATAAATTGTTTTCTGTAGTTTCAGAAATACAGAGATATAACAATTTAAAACAAGCTTCTTTACCTATTGCCCAGGGCAAACACATTGTTATGCTTTATTATTCCTCCATCCAAAGATATGGCTCCATCTCTAATACAAGGGAGAGCCTGTAACATATCTGCTCTTGTTCTATATACGTGCAAGCGTGAAAACAGGTTATAGAAGAGAGTCTCTCTTAGACCGTAACCACTGCTTGTAGCACAATATAAGTTCACACTGTCTATATTGACCATATTCACAGCAAAGCCAAGAAAACCAGGTGGAGATTCCCCATTGGGTAATCTTGGCTTCAAAATATTAAGCCTCCTTTGAGGTTCGTCAGCTATGAACTCACCGCCATATGGTCTAAAAATGAACCAAAAGAAGGAAAGTGATCAAAGGCATGTCAAAAGAGAAGCATCAGTTTTTTCAAGAAACATAATCTTGATCTCAAACCTTAAGTTTTCAAGACAGATAACAAGAAATCGGCCATCCAAAGACCTCCCAATAGAAGATCCAAGTCCATGAAGACCAGAAGTCTTGTTTATATAGCCTTCCTTATTGTATGTTTCCAGTGCTTTGATACCATCATATGTCTTGCACACGATTGCTAGCATAGTCTCAAGTCCCAAATAATCTGAGAGAAGCCTGGATTTCAGAGATCAAATATACATGTCAGCCATAATACAGAACAAGCTGCCATTATTTGCCCTACTTGAAATTGCATGCTTCTCAACTTCTCATATCGTCACAACTAGTTCAAACAGAAAGAAATTCATGTTTTTGTATGTTCTTTGAGACTATAGAGATATGAAGAAACACAGTGACAAGTTTGGTATGCACAAACACATTTTACATCTAAAAATAAATGTGAATCCGCTCATGACAAAGAGTTGAGAACTGCAGTGGCCTAGAATAGATGCACTAAATATCTAAGGACAATTTGTTCCATTATCTCATTCCAATCCATTCTTGACCTCATAATCTCTCCAGAAATTACTATGAAAAGACTCGATTATAAGAGAAAATATGAGGAACAAAAGAAGTTACTCAACACTCAAATCCCACAAACACTAGAACCTTCAACTCATTGAATCATATTGGTTTTTGATTAGTTAGGAATGGGAATGTCTTTTCACCATTAGTAATGCAGGAGCAAGAAGATGAGGAAGATGAACAAACATCATGGGATGCAAATTTCAATATTTAAGAGATGAAACTAACATAGAACACCACAATATATTATCTTGCTTGTTGAAGTAAAAACCTTTCTACAACCCACCCGACTTCTGCACACAATTATATTAAGTATATCTCTAATCAATTTTTTCTATGGTAGTATTGTTGTTTATAGTTATTGTTTTTACATCTATTTTTCTATTTCTTACGATGCTTTTAATATTTTTTATCTTCTATTGCTGTCACTGACCTATTGTCTATTGTTTATTTTTCTTCTTCTCGAGCCCCTCTAGGATACTCTCTACCTTCCCCAGACCCCACTTGTGGGATTATACTGGGTTGTTGTTGTTGTCTAGTCAATTTGAATATCAGCTAGCAACATGTCGTCATCCTGATTGTGATAGAAAGAATAGGTGCTACAATTTTTAGGATATGGCTGAAGAAAACTGGGAAAACTGCAATGTAGCTAAATTATTGCAGAAAAGGCAAGCAAATACATTAATTGAAATAAAATTAACCTGCTAAGATTGTCATCATCAACTTTCCCAAGCATAGCAACAATTCCCAGAACATCCTTCGTCAAAGGAAGATGAGAAGCTTGAGTTCCATGACGAGTTTTTAGTTGGCACCAGATGCCAGCTGCAGATTTCTCATATCTTAAGATTTGTTCAATTGTCTCCTGCTCACTCAATACATGGGAAAGTTCCTCATTTTCAGGACCAGATTCACTCTCTGTCTGATACTTGCCAAGAGCGACTACAGTACCCACAAACAGGAAATGTGAAACAGAGATCTTGATATTGTAGTTTTCTCATGTTAAACTTAGCTTGCATAAAAACAAAGGGTAAATGCATTGATTAAGGGACACCCACTGATTCAACAAAAATAACTAGAATGACCATCCATATCTAATTACTAGCTAAACTTAAGTAAAAGGAAGGTACCTTGCATATCTAAGATCGAATTATCCAACCCATTCTTTTGAGTCTTCAGGAATTTGATATTCTCTTCGTGTTGTTTAATTTTTAGACCCATTTCATGCACAACATCCTCAAGTTTCTGCAGTATATAGCTGGTACTGATTGGTTTTGCACAATATTAAAAATGTGGTAAATCTCAAGTAACAGTTGTAAACGGGTATCCATTAATCACAAGCACTCACTAATTTTACATATTACATTTCCTGCAAGATAAAAAAATACAACTTGTGCAAATTTCATGCATAATGTTAACAACCTTGGAGTTGTAGATAGTTGCCTCAGCCGTTCCATTTTGCATTGTGTCCCTCGCAAAAGAGTAGTAATCAGCCTGACCTCCTTGACTGAACCTCGGCTCATGCACAACTATAGGATTAGCATTGATTGGCAACTGAAAAAAAAATAATAACAAAATCTGCTATCAAAGCTTATCCAGGAAAAACTACAAAATGATGTAATCAGTAGCTCCCAGATTACCTACCACACTAAGTGTTGAAGTAACTAATAAATTGTAAATTGTAGCAAACTTTCATACCTTTTTTTTTTTCATTTTAAATTGAAGACGACTGGAGTTACCTCCTGATGATAGAGGTTGATATGCAGATTATATATATTCTACAAGTGCAAATCAAAAGTTTACGCAGCCCATATGCTATAGAAAAAGGAGAATCTAGTCTGAGGCTGTAGATGTAAAAATTCCACATTTTAGGAATTTCAGACCACTTGATCAAACGTTAGGAAATTGAAAAGAAACTTGTTTTACTTTGCTGACTAGTTTACATATTTGATGTCAAGCATAATTAGCTTAGTCCTGAAAGCTAAGTCCTTTCAGGTTGTAGGTATGTAATTGCAATAGGGAGGATTAAAAGGCACTGCCATTGTAAAAACTGGCTATACATCATTATGGTCTCAACTGTTTCAAACAGTACGAGAAAATAAAAGATTTAAAAAAAATAAAAAATAGTCCCAGGATCCTGAGATTTTACGTAGTCATTTGGCATGCAACGTTATACCGACAGACCAACATTCAACCACGAAGTCTCGCCTTGTAACATCCACAGCAAGTAGGCTAAAGCCAACCACCACCATCGCGTCATCTATTCAAGAAGCCAAGTGATGATCACCCCCCACCCGCCACACTCTTATTTTGTACCATAAAATATTAGACCAAGTACTACCAGTATACTAGAAAGAATAAAAAGAATAAAAAGGAAATACTCGAGGTAGGAATAAACAGTATTCTGAAGTATCTATTAAAGAGTCCTCGAGTATAAATTGGCCAAAACTTTTCCAGCGCAAAATCTTGGAATTCCAGTCCCATCTTATGCCGGCACCTGGCACTAACCAGAAAAAGAAATAGCTCAATTAAAATATGAGGACCTAATTTTGAACCCTTCACGTTCTCGGATCCTGACTACAAGAAGCAGCAAATTACAGCTGTTCTCTGGAATGCAGTTGTTAACACTAAGTTTGAGGAAGCTTTTCTTCTTTATCACCTTTATCTTGCTCTCTTACTAAGTAAAAAATCTAACAAATGCAACCATCTTGTGCATCAACGGTCAAGTACTTTTTGAAACTTAACAGTCCCTCTGTGCAAAAAAGAATGGCACTTTACTGTCGGTAGACACACAATTTTATCTTTGACTACAATTTTGTTAAATCTTTATTTAAAATATAACTGGTCCAAATGGAAAGAAATGGATATCAAGGATTCGTATAGCTGATGCCTACTAGCTTTGAATTGAAGCGTAGCTCTTTTTTAATTCAAGAGTTGGAGGGTCCTTTAATTTCGCCCAAATGTTCTCAAGGAAGTAACTAAAAAGGCATCGAACTTCAACGGAGAAACATATACATGCATGACATCATTTCCACTGTCTATTAGTATAATTAAGTGTTTCTCGGAGTTTTTAAGCCTTACCCGCGTATCTATGAGAGAATTGAGTGTTAGCAAGAGAAACAGTGTTAACAAGATATTTGACTCGACGAGCAGGAGATGAATCCGGAGCGAGATAAAGAAAAGGAATAGTACCTTCACTTTCTCGTCGTTTATCGACATTCACCGTTGTTGCAGTTGATCGCCGGCGGTGAGCAGGGATCGTCGGAGACTCCAGGCGGAGGAAACGGGCAATGGGAGTGAGCAACGCACATGTCGTGACAGTAAAATGAACTTATATAGGGCTTTGCCGAGTGAGTGAAAACACTCAAAATTATTTAATGTTATAAAACAAAGACCTAAAATTGATATTTTTATTTCTCTATTTACAGAAGAAACTAAGTTGTTGTGTAAGCTGCTACTACAAGCTGCTTGTAAGCTGCTACTGTATCAGATATAGATAATCTTCTACCAGAGGTAATATTTATCCATAACGGAGTACCGAAAGGATAAGCTTCTTCAGGAGGCTTATTTCCAATACAGTACTAAATATATAAACATATTTACGGCGGAGTCCCATATGGATAAACTTCTTCAGGAAGCTTACTTACAACGGAGTACTAAATGAACATCCATAATATAATATATTTATAACATTCCCCCTTGGATGTTCATTAAAAGATATTGTGCCTCGTTAAAACCTTACTAGGAAAAACCCAGTGAAAAAAATACTAGTGAAGGAAAAAGAGTACACATATTTAGTAATACGCAATTCTAGCTACCTTATTAAAAATCTTATAAGAAAAATCACATGGGAAAAAACTTAGTAAGGAAAAAAGAGTACAACGCGTATTTCACTCCCCCTAATGAAAACCTTGATCCAAATATTTGAGTCTCCGCATTCCAATCTTGTATACCATCTTCTTAAAAGTTGAAGTTGGCAAAGTGAACAAATCTGTTGGATTGTCAATTGAACGGATTTATTGCACACCGATGTCACCATTTTCTGAAGATCATGTGTGTAGAATAATTTTGGTGAAATATGTTTCGTTCTATCTCCTTTTATAAATCATCCCTTTAATTGGGCTATGCATGTAGCATTGTCTTCGTATAATATTGTGAATTTTTTATCACATTCCAACCCATATTTTTTTCGAATAAAATGAATCATTGATCTCAATCATATGCATCCCCTACTTGCTTCATGAATAACTATTATTTCAGCATGATTTGAAGAAGAAGTAGTAGTAATATATTGCTTTGTGAAGCGCCATGATATGACAGTACCTTCACATGTAAACACATACCCGATTTGAGATCAAGTTTTATGTGGATCAGATAAATAACATGCATCTGCATAACCAATATGATCTGCACCACCTTTGTTAGCATTAGCAAGATACATAAGTGCACCAATTGCACTGAGATAGAGTATTTCAGGACCAAGGAATTTCTCCTCCTCTTCTGGAGGTCAAAACGGATCCTTATTCACTTCAAGTGATCGAACACCCATTTGGTGTACTTAATGGGTGCGCTTTGTCCATGTAAAAGCGTTTTAAGACCTTTTCTATATAGACATATTGATAGATAAAGATCTCGTCTGCTAAATATTCAATTTGCAGACTAAGACAAAGTTTTTCCCTTGGGAGCTCTTCTGGAGTTCCTATGAGATTTATGTCATTAACGTAAACAGCAAGTATAGCAAACTCTGATGCTGTTTTCTTTGTAAAAACGCATGGACAAATGCCATCATTTATATAACCTTCATTCATCAATTCAGTGAGGCGATTATACCACATGCGCCGTGATTGTTTTAAATCATACAAAGATTTTTGTAATCTGATTGATGAAATTTTCAAGACTTTGAATTATATGCTTCAAGCATTTTAAATCCTTCAGAGATCTTTATATAAATTTGATCAAATGAGTCATATAGGTTATGACTTGCATCTAAATGGCATGACATCTTCAGGTGTTTGGACTACAAGTCTGATCCTCACAATCTTTTATAATATCGTGCACTATATTATATCAAATATATCGTCAACGATCATTTTGTATCGGTTCGCAAGTGACATAACTTGTTAAAATCTCATCACTTTCTTTATTTTTAGGTACCTGAACTTCTTCTGGAGTTTCATGAAATGTTATGTCGTGGGCTTTTATAGAACTCATTTCCTCCTCATTATGATCATTTTGATCATTTGCTCCTATCCTTTTCAAGGATTGTTACCTTTGGAACCGATCGATTTACTACGCTTCATGCATGCAGTAAACTTTATCCTTTAGGGACTTTAATTTTAATAGGAGCATTTGTAGCTGAAATATGATATTTAATTTTGGATCAGCAAATGCTTCTGGCGTTTGACTTGAATTATCTTCTAAGTGAGGATCATATTAATGATAATTCGATTCATATAGCATATTTTTCAGTTGTTTATTCCATCCTCCAAATGTTAGAAAAACTAACACATATCCTCAATCATTTTTGGGAAACCTATCTTTGTGCATTGTGGTAGAGAAATTAATCATATACCATACATCAAAAGTTATTAAATAGTAAAAATATTTGGTTTCTGATCCTAAACCAATTGTGAGGGGAGGACTTATCATATTTTGTTGGTTTGATGCATACAAGTGTTGTTGTATGCAATTTAGAAAATCTTAGACCAACACATGAGGCTTTGTTCTCATAAGCAATAGTTTAGCCATTAATATGAGGCATTCAATACTAAACTAGCTTGGATATAAACCAGCATCATCAAGATGAACTATCTTGATTTCATAATCTGGAAATTATGTTCTTAATTGAGAAAGACAATTTCAAATGCCAAACTGCAAGTTGACAATAAACACACATGTAACCATATCATATATGCATCTATAAGTGGTTCACATGATAGGTGAATGAGCTCATATTCACCTTTTATATATTCCAGAATTCAGGGGTTTTAGTTCCAACTTTAGTTGGTATAATCAATTTATTATGAGAACAAGCAACACAAGAGAATTCTTGAAGAATCTTCTAGTTCATTAATATATGCTTATTTGAATTCTCAAATAGCTCATTTTAAAAATGACAAATGAAAATTTCAAGTTTATCATGACATGTGCTATCTCTAAGTAAACTTCTAGTTTACTATGGCATAAAATTTTGCATCAGTAAACTTTTGATTTACTGTGGCTACTTTTGTATCAGTAAATTTTTAGTTTACAGTAGCTACTTTTGCCTCAGTAAAACTTCTGGTTTACTGTGACTGCTTTTGCATTAGTAAACTTCTGGTTTACTGTGACTGCTTTTGCATTAGTAAACTTCTGGTTTACTGTGATACATGATATAGTACAGATTGAAGAATAAGGCGGGTCATGTGATGACCCAAAATGTCATCTTTAAATTTAATAAGTAATTATGTATTCTAAGACCTTAAAAAGTACCATTTATTATTCCTCGACTTGCGTGCGCAGTCCGTACAATTTTACAGTAAAGTTTTTATGTGAAAAATGGATTAAAATAGGAAATAGAGCTTTAAAACTCAACTAAGTTGACTTTGGTCAACATTTTGAGCAAACGAACTCGGATCAGTATTTTAAAAATTTTAGTAGGTCTGTATCATGATTTGGGACTTGGACGTATGCTTGGAATCGAATTCCGAGGTCCTTAGCCCGAGTTATGGAATTTTGATAAAAAATTAAAAGCTTGAAAGCTTAATGATTTCTAAGAAATTATTGATGTTGGATTTATTGACTTCGGGTCCGTATTTTAGTTTCGGAGCTCGGTATAGGTCCACTATAATATTTATGATGTGTCTGTCAAATTTGGTGAGAATCGGAGTTAATTTGACGTGATTCGGATGTCTGGTTGTAAAAATATAAGTTTTAAAATTTTCTTGAAAACTTCCTTTGATTTGGTGTCTGATTCGTAGTTCTAGGTGTTATTTTGGCGATTCGATCGTGCGAGCAAGTTCGTATGATATTTTAGGACTTGGGTGCATGTTTGGTTTGGAGCCCCGAGGGCTCGGGTTGATTTCGGATGATTAACAGACCATTTTTGGACTTGGGAAAAACTGCAGAAATCTGCTTCTGGTATCCTTCTTCGCGTTCGCGAGAGGTGGCTCGCGTTCGCGAAGAAGAAACTGGAGGCAGGTGAAATTTACTCTTCGTGTTCGCGAAGAGGGGGACGCATTCGCGAAGGGAAGAGGGCAGTGTTCATCGCGAACGCGTGGAAGCGTTCGCGTTCGCGTAGAATGCGAGGCCTGGCCGGGCACCAAGCGTTAAAGCTTCGCGTTCGCATAGGGTGTATCGCGTTCGCGAAGGCCAAATTTGGCAAGGCTTCGCGTTCGCGACATTGCCTTTGCGTTCGCGAAGAGCAAAGTTTTGGCAGCACAAAAATGTGCTTCGCGAACGCGAGGCACTGACCGCGTTCGCGAAGGGTAAAAATTCGAGAAACAAAACTTAAGTTCTGGAAATGGGGTTTCGACCCATTTTCAATTCTTTCCCATTTTTGAGCTAGGGTAAGGCGAATTTTGGGCGATTTTCACGGAAAAACATTGGGGTAAGTATTCCTTATCCTATATTGATTATATTTCATGATTTCATACTCATCTATATCATGAATCCGTGAATTTATGGAAGAAAAATCATATTTTTATAAAATCTTCCAAAAATGAAGATTTAAGATTTGAAGGTCCATTTGATATCGGAATTGGACAAATTTAGTATGGTTGAACTCGTATCGGAGCGGGTGTTCAGATTTTATGAGTTTTTTGGGATTTGAGACGTGGGTCCCACTGCCGAATATTTTAATAAATTTTAGATTTTTATCCGAAAAATTTATAAATTCATATGGAATTAATTCCTATGATTCGTATTGAATATATCGAATTGTTTGTGAATAGTTTTGAAGCTTTCGGAGGCAAATTTAAAATGAAAAGCTGTGGTTGAATAATTGATTAGAATTCGCAAAGCGAGGTAAGTGTCGGGGTTAACCTTGACTTGAGGGAATAGAACCCTTAAATTATTTGTTATATGAATTGCATGTGAACGACGTATAGGCGAGGTGACGAGTGTCTATACGTCATCAAATTAATTGTTTGCCTGCTTACTTGAAAAATCATAAATTATTTTTAATCATAAATTAATTATTCTAATAATTGTTTCTCTCTTATTCTTTGTCAAAATATTAATTCTTGAATTCCTGCATTAATTGTTACATGATATTTGAATTATGTGTTTTAATTGTTATTTGACATTTAGCATATTAAATATTAAACTGCCTATTTCCTCC